CATATAAAAAACAGGAACAAAATATCCTCCTACCCTACATGGCATTCAAGAATTCCATTATCAGATCCTTTTAATTCAATGACCGGATAGCCTCTGAGTCCTGAACATGTGAAAACTTGTAACAATGAATGGGGCCGGCTTGTTGGGGTTTCTGTCCTGCCCAGTTCCCGGCAGCTGTTTAGCCCAAAAGAAAATCACACAGAGATCTCTATAAGTTATAAAGCTGATTGGCCCATTAGGTCAGGGTACTTATTAACTCTTGTAGCTTATATTAACCCATTATTCTGATCTATTTTTGCCATATGGCTCTGTACCTTTTTCAGCTGGCATATCACATCCTGCTTCCTCGGTGGTCTGCGCAGGACTGGGAGGAATCAACTTCCTCTTTCCCGGAATTCTCCTGTTCTCATTGCATCATTTCTACTTCCTGTCTGGTTTTCCTGCCTATACTTCTTGCCTGGCCAATCAGAGTTTATTTAAAACATGATTGACAGAATACAGACAATTCTCCCGCACCAAAACTTTATCCTCTGACTTTTTTCTCATAAAAAAATTCTCTAATAAAAATTCTTTCCTTCCTGTTTGAGGCATAATACTTCTGTTCAAAAGTCTTTTCCTTTCCTACTTTAGGTCCCTAGTCACTGGCCCTTGATGGCACTCCTATAACTTTATCTTGGAATATTTGTTTCACTCTCAAACCCTCCCAGGATCCTTCCTTGTTTTTACTGAGAGAATGTAACACCTATACAAAGTACTATAGCAATAAGCACCATACTAATTAGGAATGTTAGTTATTTACTGAAACTGATTTTCAGCTCTGTATCATTCAGGTAAAACATGGAGCTTGTGGAAAGAAAAATAATTATCTTTTAGAGGAAGGCAAGTGTGTACCTCAATCATCTACCATAGTCTTTTGGATTCAGCTTCATCAACTGTAAACATATAAGACAGGAGAAAACACATAAACTAAACATTGCTCTTTTTTTCTCTTCTTGTTTCATAGGTATTAATGGTTTGGCTTTGGGAACAAAGATTATACCTTTAACCACAGAGTAATGGATAAAGAACATAGACTTTGCACCTTGGTCCTCTGCGCCTTCAGTGTCTACACACACACACACACACACACACACACACACACACACACACACACACACAATCATACTATCACTAAGGTAAATATTCTCAAACTCTTTTTCACTGTCTAAAGAATTTACAGACACAAAATAGGCATGCTCAATCATGCCCATCAGCCATACAAGGTAATGCACTGATATGATTGTCAGGAACCTGAACCCTGAACTCCAAGTCCAGCTCTTGATGAGGAGATTATCCATCACCTTTTAGCTCAGCTCTTGAGTAGGGATAGATCATAAACATATATAATATGGAGAGAGGAGAGAGAGAGAGAGAGAGAGAGAGAGAGAGAGAGAGAGAGAGAGAGAGAGAGAGAGAGAATATGGAGTTTTCAGCTGTAAACAATCAAATTATGGCATTTGTAGAAAATGAATTTAACTGCACATCATGATATTTAAATACCATAGGCCAAACTTAAAAGGGCACATTTGCACATTTTTATACTGCATGGTTCCTCTCATTTGACCATTGTTCTGGCTACTTTTTATGTCAAATTGACACAGCCTAGAGTAATCTGAGAGAAGGGGGTCTCCACTGAGAAAATGTAATTATAATAATCGTCTGTAGGAAGACCTGTAGGGCATTTTCTTAATTAGTGATTGATAGGCCCAGCCTATTGTGGTTACTATCACTCATGGTCTGATGGTCCTGGGTTCTATAAGAAAGCAGTCTTGGCAAGACAGGAGGAGCATGCCAACAATCCGTACTCCTCCATGGCCTCTGTATCAATGTCTGCATACAGGTTCCTACTCTAAGTTCCTGCCTTGACTTCCCTCAGTGATTGACTTAGAAGTTGGAAAGTGAAATCAACCCTTTTCTCCCCAAGTTACTTTATGTCACAGTGTCTTATCACTGCAATAAAAACCCTAACTAAAACAGACATCCTAGATTTTATACACCATATGCCATATCATGTGACATGAAAGCTGAAGTCAAACTGAGGGATGGAATAGGATTGGCAAAAAGTAAGAAGAGGGTGTAGGGAAAAATATGGCCAAACTACAATATATTTAAATTAAAATGACAGTATAAAACCATCACTGTGTATAATCAATACATGCAAATAAAAGAAAATATAAAGACAATAGGACATTTGGAAAGAACAATCTTTCTAGCTGGGTGTGCCAGCATATGCCAGTTATACGAACAACTGGGAAGTGGAGGAAGGAAGATAAGATGTTTGAGGTCATCCTGTTCAATTAAGGACTCTGTGTCAAAACAAAAAGAATGATCAAACCAAACAACCAATAAACACAAAGAACATGGTTTCTGCTGCAGAGTAGAAACTGTTCCAGGAGGAAAACTGCTTTGGAGATCAGACAGTGGGACTGGGAAGACCTTCTTGGCCAGATGAGTGCTAGTTCACCCTCATACACCAAAAGCTTGTTTGTAAGATTGCTGATAAAGTTTTGTTGGCCCCCAGGGACACATTGTCCATTGTCTCTGTGCATGTGCAGATGCCTCTCCAGCAGCAATCTTTTTTAGCTGTGTCTGTGAACCTCGTAAAATTGCTTTTCCTGGCTTTCTCCACTGTGCACTATCACTGGCCACTGCTGCAGGATGCAGCAAGACCTTTCCCGAAAAAACAGATCCCTGCTTTCTACAGAGACAGGCCTGGGTCACGAGCCCGACTCCCACACTCAGCCTCTCGGTAATGGTGTGCGCACACACCCTGTGACCCCACAGCAGAGGCTGCTTTCATTTGCAGTTTCCTGGTGGATGTGCAGCTCTAAAATGGAATTGCAGTTCCTCTAGGTGACAGAGGAGGGGCTTGTGTTCTTCCACCAAGTTCTCCCCTTGTCTGCTAGCAAGCTGTTGGGTACCCTGCAGAACAGAGGACCTTCCATGAGTCTCATTCTGGGAGCTGACTGAGCACACACCTGTGCATCTCTGGGACAGGTTCCTCTATGAATCAATCCCCAGAGACCAGTCAGGTGACAAAATAAAACCTGTGTCAGGAACTGTCCTTCCTAGAGGCATATAGCGCACCAGATCATACTGAGGGTCCCAGGAGGAGGCAATGTCCCCAAGCCCTGTGTGACAGACAGCTGAAGGCACTCGGGAAAAGGGCAGGCTGCCACAGACTTCCTGCTGGGACATGAGGCTTGGTTGAGAATGTGAATTTGGATCTTAAAGGACTAGCGGGCCACCCCCCCCCCCATGCCCACATGAAAATACATCTGCAAAGGAGCCAGCACTGATGCTGTCAATGTCTTCCCCTGTGCAGATTAGAAGGGAAGAGTACGTGTTGTCACTGGGCATGGAAGTTCCTCCTATGGGTCAGGATGCAGCTGTGCTTCTTGTAGGTGGTGAGGATCAAGGCTACACAGCTGTGCACAAGGGGACAAGAGGAGGTCAGCTCCAGTCACCGGTCTAGGCAACTATTGGGCAAGCACACACACAGGTGGGGTGTCATCCTCTCTCAACTGATACCTTTGGTACTCCCGTGAGAGTGGTACACTGTGGAGGTGTGTGACCACATGGGTGTGTTGTCCATCAGCTATAGCTTCTCACGGGGAAGGCAGTACTGTAGGTCCCCACCATACCCTCTCTCTTTCTGTTTGTGCGTGTGTAGTGTGTGTGTGTGTGTGTGTGTGTGTGTGTGTGTGTGTGTGTGTGTGTGTGTGATCTCTGGTGTCTTCCACAGTCACTTTCTCCATTATTGTTCGAGACTGGGTCTCTCACTGAACAGCCCTGGGGATCCTCTTGACCCTGCTTCCCCAGTGCAGAGTCAAAGATGCCTTCAGCAGGTCCAGCTCTTATTTGGGTGTTGGAGACTGAATTCAAGTCCTCAACCTTGTGCAGTAAGCACTTTACCAATGGAGCCATGTCTCAAGAGCCTGTCTGACATTTATTAGACCAACATGCAGTGGTGGAAAAGGTTCATCTTCCTGTCAGTTCTCTGTCTCCCTTCGACTCTTTCTGCTTCTTCTCAATTGCTTCTTCATCTTTTCGTCTTTCCTCTCTGGTCCGTCTGCCCTCTCCTCCTTTCCTCTTCCCTGTCTCCTTTATCTTCACTTCCCATTTCACTTTCATTCCCTCTCCAGCCCAAACCTCCTCCAGGTGTCTACTTAGGATTCCACTCTACCAACCACCTCAGTGCTCCTGATACCTCTGCTTGGCCTGGCACGGTGGAGGCTTCCTGAGTCATGTCTGCTCTTTGCTAAAACATTTTCTTGGTCCACTCAGAAAGTCTCACTCTGACCCAGCTGCCAAGAGTCCAGCAACTCCAAAAATCCAAAGATCAGTGTTAAAGTAATCCTGCAAACTTCGCCGGCCCTTCTACAACCAGCTGGTGAGTCACAGATTCCCCTAATTCTTCACTATTGGTTTTGAGTCATTCTGTGCTGCCCTTGAGTGCAGCCGCCATTCTCTCCAGCTGTCCTTTCAGAGCCTCCAAGATTAGGATGTGGTGGCTAATACCAGTAATCCCAGAACTTGAGAAGTGGACAATAGAGGATCAGGACTTCAAAGTCATCCCTGGCTACACAGTGAATTAAGGGTCATCTTGGACAACACGAGTCCCTGTCTCAAAATTAAAATAGGGTTTGATTGAGGGGTGGGGAGAACATGAGATATTAAAGTGAAATGCAGGCAGATTGGGGGCAAAAGGGCACAGCTGTGGAAATGAGAGTCAGGGCTACGAGTGTTCTGAGTGTGCAAGGCCAGACGAGAGTCAACCAAAGCAAAGCATGTATGGGAATGCTGGAAGGAAACCTGTGCTTTGTTAGCTAATTGAATAAAACACACCCAGAGGGAAAGAAGAGAAGAAAAGCATCCTGGTTAGAGCCACACAACCTTTGTCTCTGGTCAGGAGCAGGGTCCTCAGTCCTTAGGAAAGCGCACAGATTGCCTTGCTCCCACCATGTCCGCTAACACCTAGGTGAGTGCATGTTCCAGGGATCATTGCTTGAGAAGGGTGGGCATGTGGAAGGTGCTCTAACTGCAGCTGTGCACCCCATACACACGGCCCAGATCTCCTCATCTTGACACCCGGGATCCACTTCCAGCTTTGCCTGCAGCCTAGAGGTCAGTGTTTGGGATGTGATCCCCTCACAGTGGAATATGCCTTTGCCCTGTACCCTATTGCAGAAAGGCTATCAGAACCCTTCAAATTAACACCAGGTGTCCCCAGGCAAGATGTCCCAGGGAAAAGTCTCTGGAAATCCTTTCCAGACACTGCTCAGGAAGGAGCTAGTCCACAGCGAACTCCCAGGAGTGGGCAGGAAGGAGGTCCTTCCTCCCTTTCCTTGGCTTCTCACCTCCCTCTGAAGGAGCATTATCTGCTTCCAGAACTCAAAGTCCCTGGGAGAATTCTCATCCTGCCTTTCAAGTCACGCAGACTGTCTATAAAACCCAGCGATCCTTCCGTGTTCCCACGGTCACCCTTGGCCATGTGCCATTGTCTGAGTCTGCATTAAGTGCAAGGACAGCTGTGTCCTGCCATGTTGGACTCTGTGACTATGAACAGGCCACTCCCCCTCAGGGCTTCAGGATTCTGTGAAATGAGGGGCAGGACCATGCTGGCTTCAACTGGAGGCTTGATGGGAGCCAGAGTTCTGGGTGGTCCAGAACCCAGTAGTCCATGCAGTTCTGCTTTTTTTGCAGCATGCATTGAATTCCAGTCTCTTCACTCCTGAGCCTCAGTTTCCCCGGGTGACAGCATGTCATGGAGTCCTCAGGTGAGGGTCTTGACCCAACCCCTATGCCCGTGTCTTTCTGAACCGCTCACCAGAGATCCCCACTAGAGATACAGAGTCTCTGTCATTCTCTGGATTTCTTTTTGGACGTGTCTTATGGATCGGTTTCCTCTGTGCTGGATGCTTTTGTGCCCAGGTAAGCCTCCAGGTCCCCTCGTCCTGGCCCTGCGGACTGTGCTTATGGGCTTTTAATCACCGAAGAATGTTAGTTAGTGTAATTAACGTGTTCTCATCTTCAGTCTTGGCCTGTGTCGTTTTCTGTCTCCCTCCACCTTGGTTCTCTCCTATTTTAACTTAGTGAGAAGAGCTCCTGTCTGCATCACCATAGCAACCAGAGTTGAGGGCCAATTAAGCCATGACTGAGCCATTAGACACCTAAGCTGATTAAAGAGTCCAAAATATTGGCGAAAAGGAGACAAACAAGGCAGGTCCTGGCTGCAGCGATGTGAGGGGCACGGCCAGTGAATGCTGAAAACCCTCGCAACCTGGGCTCCAAGCTGTGGGCCCTTGTGTCATCTCTGTGCCCTGTGTCCTAGGCCTCCAAGCCAGGAAAGGTCACCTCTTCCCTTCTCAGGGCAACCATTCTGAATGAGTCCCTCTCAACCGGCCCCAAGCAGCAACTGGAATCTGCAGTGCTAAAGGCCATTCAGCGGGACAGACAGGGCAGTCACACAATTCACCCTGAGTCCTAATTTCTTGGCCCCTCCCTCACCTTCCCCGTTACTTTGTGGCATTTTCGCCAATGAAAGGACCTTTTGCAACTTGCTGGTCCCAAACAGGTCCCCTGTTGTTCTGGTCTGTGTTTGTGCGTTTTTAATCCCACATGTACCAATTAGTGCAATTAAGACATTCAAATTATAATTGGACCCCCTTTCCTATGTGCCTAAGCCCCCGCCCAAGTTTCCTGCTGCCTTTCATTTCATCTACTGAATAAATCTCTTGCAGAATTGCCATAGCAACAGGCCACTGGGCAGATTAAACCATTATGGGTCTGGACACTGACACTCAAAACTGATTGTGGTTCTGGAAACTTGGATGGCTGAGCAAGAATCCTGGAATTCGGACAAGGAGGCTCATAGCTGAAGAGCAGAGGCAGCTCACCATCTCGGGCCTTGGTTCAAACCCCGACTCCTGACTTCATTTCTTCCCCTGTTTGCTTTGGTAGGGGAAGAATGAGGCAACATCAGTTGTAGGTGGGGTGCCTGTTATTAAGTGTGATTGACTGAATTAGGATGTCAAGACATGACCCTTTAAATATTCCCTTCTAGGTATAACCTTACATTTCTGAGCATAGCTTGTTCTAATGACATCCCCAACTCCTATGTTACTTGATGCATATATGCGAAACTTATAAAGGGTTTTTTTAGTTTTGTTTTACATTTTCTAATTAAAAACCTTGCACAAAAATTCCAGCCACAGACAGAACTAGTGGTACATGTTAAAGAAGAATCACAATGGAGCAATTTCTGTCTTTCACCGTGGTGACCAGTGAGTGCTGCTGCACAGCCCCGATTCTAAAGTCTGTGGTAGATCTGAATCTTAATTTAGATTTGGCGAAGCAAAGGAGACAAGAATTAGGAGCTGAAGTTTTTGGAAAGTGTGACTGTTGCACTCTCTTTTTGCACTGTATCTTTTGGCCTTGAGATCTGGATGTAGTAGGGCTTCAGTTCTTCAGGCTGCAGAGGATGTGGGTCATTGCTCATGAGGTCATGTCCATGGTAGGATTTGGGGAAGTCTGTGTCATCTCTGATGCGTAGCATTCCAGCAACAAGGCATATCAATCTGTCTATCCCTAAGGCAATTCCTCCATGAGGTGTCCCATAGTCTAATGTCTGGAGCAAATGGGAAAGCAATTTCCCATGTTTCGTTTGTAGTGCCACCAGACTGTAGCCCTGTAACTGTGCTGTGCAGCATTCATTTGGATAGAACTGCCTCCTCTCTCTCTGCCATTTTAAAGCAAGTCATAATGTTGGCGACACATCTTTTCAGGCTCAGTATAAAGAAGGTGAATGTTACTGGGGTGAGGAGCAGTAAATGGGCTGACTCCAGCTCCGTGGGACTTTCTTCCTTGGCAAGGAAGAGTGGGAAATTCACCACCAAAAGGGAAGAAAACAGTGCTGGATTATGGAGTAATAGTCCTCTCATTTCCAAAAATTCTGTGCATTCCATTGGTAACTTTCCCAACAAGGAGAATGTTTTCTTGTGTTTCCTTCCAGCAGTTAGTAGCACCATGTCTTCCTCTTGAATCTTCTGGTGAAGTCCACTCTTTCCACCTCCATTTTCAATTTAGCAAATTGCAAAGTCTAGTTCTTATTGGCACTCGGGAATATGGGCAGGACTTCCTGATTGAAATGGTCAGCAGCAAATTTTCTAATGAATTTAATGCCTTGGTTTTTGAAGTACTTTTCCTCATACACTCAGAATTTCCATAAAAACACTAAATTGGAAGCCATAATATAAACAGAGGACATGGTGGAAATCCATGTAGGCTCTGTGCTTGCTGCTTCAGTTTCTGTGAGTTCATATGAACTTTGCTCAGTTGATTTAGAGGATCTTGTTCTTGGTGTCCTCCATTCCTCTAACTCTTACACTCTGCCTCCTCTCCTGCAGGGTTCCCCGCACCCAGATGGAAGGAATTTGATAGAGACATCCCATTTAGGACAGAGTGTTTCAAGGTCTCTCACTGACTGCATAATGTCTGGCTGGGGATCTCTGTATTTGTTCCCATCTGCTGCAGGAGGAATTATCTTTGATGGTGACTGAGCAAGTCAATTTAGTTATCTTAATGATTGCTGATCAGTAATCTCATCACAGAGTACACCTAAACCACTCTGGAATATGAAAGAGTGCAAACTGCCTCTCTCATTTTCAGTGTTCTTGGAAAAGGACACTAATGAAACCTCAAAGCTTTCTGGTTTAAATTTCCTTGTTTAGTGTCTGACATTTTGATTGATTTGAGTTTTAGCAATAGATGCATGCCTTTGTCTTTTGATTAGTAAAGGCACAGTTATTAGCTGTTCCCTGTCATAAGAACCTGCTCTTCTCCTTGTTAAAATACTACTCCTACTCACTCTCTCTGTGTCTGTCTCTGTCCCACCCGTGTCAGTGTGTGTGTGTGTGTGTGTGTGTGTGTGTGTGTGTGTGTGTGTTGCAATGTTCTATCAGGGTCAGTGAGATGGCTTAAATGGGTAAAAGTGCATGCTTCTCAAACCTCATGACCTGAATTCAATACCAGAACAAAACAAGAGAAACAACAACCACACACACACACACACACACACACACACACACACACACACCACAAACTAAAATAAAAATGATATAAAGACAGAGACAGAGACCCACACTGGAGCACTGGACTGAGCTCCCAAGGTCCCAATGAGGAGCAGAAGGAGGGAGAACATGAGCAAAGAAGTCGGGACCACGAGGCGTGCACCCACCCACTGAGACAGTGGAGCTGATCTACGGGGAGCTCACCAAGGCCAGCTGGACTGTGACCGAAAAAGCATGGGATAAAACCGGACTCTCTGAACATGGCGAACAATGAGGGCTGATGAGACGCCAAGGACAATGGCACGGGGTTTTGATCCTACTTAATGTGCTGGCTTTGTGGAAGCCTAGCCAGTTTGGATGTTCACCTTCCTAGATATGGACGGAGGGGGGAGGACCTAGGACTTACCACAGGGCAGGGAACCTGGACTGCTCTGTGGACTGGAGAGGGAGGGGGAGAGGAGTGGGGGGAGGGGTAGAAGGGTGGGAGGAGGGGGAGAAGGGTGGGAGGAGGGGGAGGGAAATGGGAGGCTGGGAGGAGGTGGAAACTTGTTTTTTGTTTATGTTTTTTTTCTTCTTTTCTTAATAAAAAAATTATTAAAAAAAAAAGAAATCTGACATCTATTAATTTAGGATGCTTCATGATTTTATGAGGTGTTCTGTGATGATTTTTGTATAAGGAGAAGACATAGCACTCAATTCCACATACTAAATTGAAAGTGGTAATGTGTCATCTAGGTCCTAGATTCTAGGACCAGGTAGGAATATGTGTGTAGATAAGAGAGAAAAATACTAAGAGGATTAATACTTGGTTAAACTTGGCTCTTGGAAGGTATGTGCAAGGATAGGTGTAACCATTCTTAAAGGAGCTTGACTTCTGACTTCTGTTTAATTAAACAGAGAATCTTCACTAGTCTCTCTTTTTGTTGTGGAATATAAGTCCATTTCTTAAGTGTAGAAACATACGTATCCCTGTTTCACTAAAGAGCACCTCTTGGCACTTTATAGTAAAGAGGATTAGCTGGAGTCTGCAGATACAGCACAGTGGAGGAGCACTTGCCTGGTATGTGTGAGCCCTTGCTTCAGTCACATTGAAAATTACAGGGAAGGTAGTGGGAGAAGAAGTCGGGTATTTATTGAGTGGAACATCTAAAATTAACTTAAACCAAGATTATTAATGGAAACCCATGTTTTATTCCAGAGGTTAGTCAGAGGGATATTTAGACTTGAGTCCTGTATCTTTAGCTGATGCCATAAGACAGGGTATACCAATGGACTGATTTCTCAAATTGAATGCATTTGGTGAGGAGATTCAGTGTTATGTACCCTTCATACAATATGAAATAGCACGTACAAAGTCTACTGGTTTCTGGTCTATTGCAGAATTTCTCTGTAGATTATATTAAGCTGTTCAATTTTAGCTTGCAGGATTTTGGTAAAGAGGTTGGCTAATGCCAAGTCAGGAAATGGAAGGAAATAAAAATATTGGTTTGGAGAGTCACAATCAGAAATGGAAGGAAAGCATAATTAAGAACTCATGGGAGGTGCTGAAGTTTTTCAAATGAGGCAAAATTTTTACTAAAATTACCCTGCTCTTTTGATCAAAAATGACCAAAATATTCTTGTTTAAAAGGTAAGTTTGATCATACTAGAATTGACCTAAAAATACATATGCAGAGAGAGAATGACAATTGGACCCAGAGGCCTTTTCAGTTTGATTTCCTGGAAAATTTTATATGCAATATAAGACTAGACTTCTAAAAGCCTCTCAAGGTTAGAGCTTCAAGCCAAGCATCCGCTAATGGATTTCATTAGCAATAGCTTTGGTTTGAGTGACTCTCTTCCCAAGGTCTCTAAAATATTGTATATTTTTTTGGTTCTGCTAGTTAATTTGATTTTTCCTACTTTTCTGTATGACTGCAAACCAGAGCTCTTTTCCTAAGAGAAGATGGTAAACATTGAATCCATAAAGTCATCTTTAATTATTTAAATCTGACATTCTAATAAAAACTTTGGTTATATAACATTTTAAATTATATCGTGTTAGAAGGATAGAATCTTATTGAACTTTTGAAAATAATTATATTGCAATGAAAATAAGAATATTAAGTATGAATTTCTAAAATTTGGAAGGGCCAGGTGCAGAGGAAAGATAAATATTTCATTGATATTTGCAAAAGTATAAACTACTAAGCTGGTATAAGTATAGATACTTAAAAGAAAATGAGAAAGGCTCCTTATATTTAGAAAAAGTCTCATTATATAGCTACCAACGTTTCAAACAAAGCTATAAGCATCATTTATCAATTGAGTCAGTCCTATGTGATTAATTCTTTTGTTTGCTTCATCTAAGGCTAGCAGTTTCATGAACTTGTCGATTTATACTTCAGAGTTTTAAAAATCCTTACTCATTTCAATGGTATGAACTCACAGGTATGCAAGCAATATAGTCATGAAACAGTCTAGGTGATGGTTGAATACAAATATTTTCAGATACAAACCACAGTGAAATAAAAGCTGTTTATAGATAACAAAATGCTTAAGTGCCAGGGTTTGTGACATATGCTTGTAATCCCAGTACTTTGGCATCAGAATCAGAAGTATTACTGTAAATCCAAGGCCAGCATGGTATAGATAGTGAGTTCCAGTCTAGATTAGTGGTTACATAGTAAGATCCTATCTCAAAAAACCATAAATATAAACAAAGATACGTCTGATTCAAGTCAAGCAT